CTTGACGAGTCATATTTTGACATTCTAGAAGAATTGTCTTATAAATAAATAGCAATAATAATAGGAGTCACGGTTTGAATTCGACACATCATCTTGTGACTCTGTATAATGAACACATTGACTTGGCGGAATCTTGACTATTCATCAATTTAAGTAAGCACTTTTAATCATAATCAAGATCTTTTATAAAAATAACTAATTAATATAAATTAATATACCAAAAAAATATACTTAGACAAACACGTGAAATACACTACAATGATAAACTTATTCGGAAATATGCTTGATGATGGGGACTAACTTTTTGATGCTGGATAACATCTAATTGTTTCAATTCTCATATCAAGCAGTTTTGATGATATTCTCAACTAATAATGTGCAAAAGGATTGATGACGTGGAATGGACTGTCAACTTGTTCTATTAACAACAGTGAGTTCGTTTACATGTTTTTTGACATATTTAAAAGTTCACCATCTCAGTTATAAAATGGTTAGCCGACTAGAAACAATATCAATTTTAATAAATGATATAAGCGCCACCCAATATAAATTTAATGATTCATCAAACCAAAGGTTCATCACAAAATAGACTCTAATGCGTAATACTTCTTAGTTTTATTTAAAAGAATTTTTATTGTTTTTATATTTACTGAAGAAGGCTGAGGTAACAGCCGAAACGTTTATTTTTATTATTATCATTGTATTTACTAACAAATAAAGTAATTATGTGTTGACATTACATCTCTCACTAATTTAATATGCTCGTTATAGTTGGCCCTGTCTTTCTAAATGTTATTATTTATAATATTACACAAGCCTTGTCTTTCAATATCTAATTGTAATCTTTATTTAAAAATAAAAAGATAACTTACTGATATTGTTTCTAAGAAAAACTAATTAAATAGGTCTTCAAAAAGTCCTCTTAAAGATTTCATCTTCTCAATAATGCTCACTGAGATGTCTGCGCTTGCGTCGGACGAATCAGTTGCCTGCCGTTCTCGGCAAGTTTTTAACGAATCAGTCACAGTTACGGTGTGATCGCAGTGTGTCGCGGTCACGTGTAACTTGTTATATTTATCTGTAAAAATGTTCGTTGAAATTGAATTTTTAACAGAGATACAAACAAACATTAATATATTTATATGTATCTGTTCAATTATTTTGAAGTTCTATTTTGTAGTTCGATATGTTTATAAAAAATATATTAAAAAAAATAGTGGTGCGGTGATAAACAATCGCGTTAAGAGAACAGTGCGGTACGAGGAGCAAGAAATGTAAGTATATAGCAAATCTAATAATAATATAAATTTAAAGTGTAAGACAGGCAATAAGAGCCATTCGCGGAAGACAGTGCGTTATCCTAACAATACTAAATTTTCTCGTTAGAATTAAATATCTTGTGCACAGGGCACCAAATTTTACTTGGTCACGGCCAAGATTTAAAATTTGAAATAATCTCATATATATTTTTGAGATTTAATTTCAATAATCCTATAACCCCCCTACGGAAATATCTAATAATAATGTATTTGGACAAAAAGAAGGTTTCTTAATCTATTTTCGTTTTTTGACAATAAAAATCTTAAATACATTCAAAATTTTTCAATAGTTAAGTTCGCTACATTTATTATGAGATTTTCCTTGGACAAAATAAAGTACGCAAGTGATAAAAAGAAATAAATCAAACATAGAATTTACAATTAATACTTTGTATGGCCGCCTTTTGCTTCTATGACTGCTGGCAAACGTCGAGGCATACTTTCAACAAGATTTCGGATGTGCTGCTGGTCTATATTTTCCCATGCTTCTTCTAATGCTTTAAACAACTTAATTTTATTTGTTACTTTGCCCTTTTCAACTTTTTGATCTAAAATAGACCACAGGTTTTCAATCGGATTCAAATCCGGTGATTGTGCTGGCCAATCCAATAGTTTGATCCGTGAAGTACGGAAGAAAGCAGCAGTTTTACGAGCGGTGTGTTTCGGGTCGTTATCCTGTTGAAATATAAAACTATCTTCCAGACCAATTTTTAGCAGAGATTTTTCCAAATTTTCATTGCGAATATCAATGTAATAGTCTGCTGTCATTAAGCTGGGTTGAGAAACAGTTTTGCACTGCGTCGCCCTTTGATTCGAATAAAGGTGAATAAAATCAAACAATTACAATTTGCAAAAAAATATGTCAACAGGTCACTGGACTTCTGGAAGAAAGTTCTTTGGAGTGACAAAAGCAAATTTGATCTCTTTGGTCATAAATAACGACCGCGGGTCTGGTTAAAGCCTAGCGAAAAACTTTTAGATAAAAATATCCAAAAGGCAATTAAGCACGGAGGAGGCAGTATAATGGTGTGGGGATGTTTTGCGTGATCAGGTATGGGAAATTTGTTCAAAATCGACGGTATAATGACAGCAGACTATTACATTGATATTCTCAATGAAAATTTGGAAGAATCTCTGCTAAAAGTTGGTCTGGAAGATAGTTTTATATTTCAACAGGATAACGACCCGATATATATATATATATATATATATATATGCGATATATATATATATATATATATATATATATATGTGATGCGTGAGTGACTTTGCATGATATGATAATATATATATATATATATATATATATATATATATATATCATGCAAAGTCACTCACGCATCACAATAAAAGTTTGAAAACTGAAGAATTAATTAAATTACAGTATTAATTCGGTCAGTACCGACATTATCGGTCATCGGAATTAAGCACGGAGGAGGCAGTATAATGGTGTGGGGATGTTTTGCGTGATCAGGTATGGGAAATTTGTTCAAAATCGACGGTATAATGACAGCAGACTATTACATTGATATTCTCAATGAAAATTTGGAAGAATCTCTGCTAAAAATTGGTCTGGAAGATAGTTTTATATTTCAACAGGATAACGACCCGATATATACGAGAATATATATGAATATATATATGAATATATATATATATATATATATATATATATATATATAATATATTTAAGACAATCAGGATCTTACACGAGAGTCGGTCATCCACCGGATTATTTGTGGATTCCGCCATGTCTGTCACATATGACCGATCAAGGCTGACCGTAGTGGCTGTGAACGTACGAGATATGTAAGCTTTCGAAATTTAGCACTGGGGCTCTATATTCGGTATTACCATCTAGCGACACGTATCGATAAAAGTTATATTCTGTACGCGCCCTTTTATTAACAATGAACACGTTTTGATGATCTCTTGTCGGTATCGTCGGTCATAACCGATGACCGATAATGTCGGTACTGACCGACAACTTTTGTCTCAAGTTCGATCTATGCTTTCTTTCTCTCTGCCGAAAGTTGTCGGTCAATACCGACATTATCGGTCATCGGTTATGACCGACAATACCGACGAGAGATCATCAAAACGTGTTCATTGTTAATAAAAGGTATTGTACAGAATATAACTTTTATCGATACGTGTCGCTAGATGGTAATACCGAATATAGAGCTGTAGCGCTTGGTTGCTCCGGTTGTGAGTTTGTGTAGGGGTGCTTGAATTAATGCTGCTCTTTTAAGTAGGCGTCGGTAAAAATTGATGAAACCAAGGAATCTGCGTAGTTCCTTGACGGTATTCGGTATGGGATAGTCCCTAATTGCAACTATGCCACAGTATATGTATAACCAGTAGCGTCACTCAAGAAAAATAGCGTCGGAGAAATGCTACGGCGCATGCGTTGGATTACTATCCACAATATGGTGTACAGTGAGTTGTAAACACAGTAAGTGGTGGTTGTGTTTATCAAAATAAATATAGCCTTTTAATGAATTCAAGTTAATTAAAGGACTCTATTAAGTTTTAGGTCTGAAAATATTTTTAAAAAACATTGTTATAATAATGGAACGTCGCGTAGTTGTTGGTGGTTTCGCGTGCGCAATGCAAGATTGCAATAAAAATTCCGGCTCCAGTCGTCACTTGAGCTTTTTTCGCTTTCCATCTCATCCAGAAAGGTATTAATTGTTTGACAATTTCCTACATACGTATATATAAAATTTAATTGTTTCTAAAATTACAATAACATTTATTCTAGAGCACAATTGCTACATATATATATATATATATATATATATATATATATAGTGTGTGTGTGTGTGTGTTAAAGATGCAGAAAATGTCTAATTTTTGTTTTTTCTAAACATTATAATATTAAAAATATTAATAAAAAGTGTTTTATTTTATAATTAATATTGTTTTCTAGGTGACTGAATTCCTGTTCAATTATTCAACACATATTTATCCACAAAATGGAGCTTATCTTATAAGTATTCATACGTATTCATAATAACAAGACAGAAATCAATTTAAGTACATTAAACAGATAAACAATAATACACCTGATAATATAAAACAAATTAGTCTTTTATAACCAATTGTAAATTACATAGAATTGTTATATACATTTATTTATTATCAATTTTTATATACATCTAAAATTTGAGATTTCGTATTTTTGAAGAGTATAACAAAAAATTGGAATCATTGATCACGAATTTATCGTAATTTTACACATTATATACATTTCAATTGTAAATAATCTAAATGTACATCAATATGTTTATAAATAAAATGGCAATAATAAATATGTTACTTGTTTAATATAAATAATTCATTAAATAATACACAAACATAATAAAAAAATAATTTATTAAATAACACATAGATATATTTTAATATTATTACTTGTTAAATTTCTTCTTTTTTTATGTTTATATGATTATTTGCGTTACTTTAATGTTACATATGTAATATGTATTTCAAGAAAATATACATTGTGGTCATTTATACAATAATTGTCTGCACAATTATAAAAATAATTGTTTATATATAGTTGCCTTTCTTTCTCACAATTTAAATATAAGCGCGCTATTACTATCAAGAACATGGCGACATGTCACATGATTTCGGACACTGACATCAAAAGAACCGACACGAAGTGCCGCTACTGGTTATACATATACTGTGACTATGCGCTCTTGGAGAGGGGCGATACCCTCCTGACTAATGGTATATCCCAACTAACGGACCTTCTCGGCTCCGAAAGTACACTTTTCCACATTGATGGATAGGCCGTGTTGCTGTAGCCGTGACAGGATTTCACGCATGTGTGTTGCGTGTTGCTCTGGTGTTGTAGATGCAATCAAAATGTTGTCAATGTAGCCGAACGCATATTCCACCCCTCGGAGGACCGTATCCATCAGGCGCTGAAACGTCTGCGCAGCGTTGCAGAGACCAAAGGTCATCTTGTTGAACTGGAACAAACCGAAAGGAGTGATTACGGCGGTCTTGGGTCTGTCCTCTGGAGCCACTGGAATTTGGTGGAATGTTTTGTTGAGGTCAAGCGTAGTAAAGATCTTGCATCCATGTAAACGGTGCGTAAAATCATGTAAATGAGGGACGGGATATCTGTCAGGTATGGTGACTTTGTTTAATCGACGATAATCGCCACATGGTCTCCATGTTTCATTGGATTTCTTCACTATATGCAGCAGAGAGGCTCATGGCCTAGAGGATGGCTCGCAAATACCTGCTGGGTGAGGTTTTGGAATTCGATTCGGGCTGCCTTATAACGGGTTGGTGAAAGGCGCCTAGCTCGCTCTGCTACAGGGTGTTCGTTAGTAATTATATAATGTTGCACGCCGTGTGTGGGTTCCTGGCTTTTGATTGGACGTGTTACTTCGTCGAATTCCAGTAGAATTTTTCTGTAACAGTTATTGTAGCTGATTTTTGTTAAACTTGGGGTGTTGCATGTTGTGATTACCTAGCACGTGCAATTTTGTCTCTATATTAATTTAGTCGTCGGTTGTGGAGATCGACAAGCAGTTTAAAATGTTTTATAAAGTCGGCACCCAATATCGGTTGTTGAACGTCAGCTACAATAAATTGCCAAACAAAATCTCTGCGTAGTGCAAGGTTGAGTTTCATTTTGAGCTCTCCGTAAGTGGGGATGATAGTGCCGTTGGCTGTGTAAATTGTAAACCTAGCACGGATAGGTTGTTTGCCTTTCATGCGTTTTGGTAGAACTGAAACGTCTGCACCGGTGTTCACTAGGAAATTCATCCTTGAGTACCCATACAGCACAGATTATTGCAATTATATTGCAGCAACGTTGCAATGTTGCAAGTTGCAATGCAACATTATAAAGACATTGCAGAGATATAGGTGCACAAAATTCCAGCACACTTGTAGCAACATGACATTAATATTTCGGAAATATTGCATGTAATCCAAATTCTATAATTTATATATTGTAATATATATACATATACCCAGCAAACACCAAGTTACAACTATATAATTGTTAGTTGTAATTTCCCACTCAAAAATATAATACGTGTATTATAACAATTATATTGTTGAGTGGAAAATTACAACTAACAATTATATAACTGTAACTTGGTATTTGCTGGGTATAATACTGTAATAAAATAATTTTTTGCAATATTGTACAATAAAAGATGTTAACAATAATCAATAATTTTATTATCTTCCAAAAAGCGAACATTTTAACATTGTTGCAATTCAACAGCAATGATGTAGCAACATTTTGCAGTGAATTTGCAATATTGCAATATTGCGGTGAAAGATTGTTGTAATGTTTTTGCAATCTAACGGTGCTGTATGGGTAATGATCCATGACTGTGAGGCAGTTTGACGTCTCATTGATCTCCATAGTCACCCCTATGTACGGAGATTTTATTAGTTTTTCTGTGGCTTAGCTCCTTGAGTCCACGTACAAGGGTTCTGGCACTTTCTTGCGCTGGCACCAAATCTATTATGATAGTAACAGAACTAGGCTTATTTGAATGCGTAGGTGCAGGTGTCAATGCTCTAGGTTGGTTTCCTCTTCCTCTGCTACGGGAGCGACGGAATCGTTTGTTGCGATCTAGTTGTTTCTGTATTTTTGAGACCTGTAATGTGAGTGCGTTAAGTGACTCTTCTAATGTAGAGTGCGTACCTGAGGTAACCTGTGTGTTTGAACTTTTTGTAGGCACAATTTGCGTTGCTGCTACCATCAGCCTCATCACGTCTAGTGCCTTATCAGCTATCTCTGCTAACCGCTGGAGATCTGATGTGTCGGAGATTGCAAGTATTGCTCGAGCAGCTTCTGGTAATTGCTCAAAGAACAGAGAGCGAATGATGACGTCTCCACACTGGTCCCCTGCGAGGGCTCGTAAACGATGTAGATAAGCCGTCGGTTTCTCATCACGCATCTCGTGGCCACGGAGTAGGCGTCGGAGGCGTGCTTCATCTCTTTCATCATAGGCGGACATAACGCGCCGCTTGATGCTTTCATATTTATTTTGAGCGGGCGGATTTATAACAAGATCGGACACGCTACGCAGAGCTTCGCCGGACAATTGTGTGGTAACGTATCTGAACTTTGTGGTATCAGACGTTATATTGTAGTTAGCAAAAACAAGGTCTACCTGGGCGAACCATAGCCGTGGATCAGCCTGATAAAATGGCGGCAGTTCGATATGGCGGGAAGATACCACTGAAACTCCGCCGTTGGGCTCGCGTCCTTGGGGTGTCTGGTTGCCACCGGGCTGATTTTGGGTTGTGCCAGCGCCCGGGGCGTCTATTCCTCGTGAAGGCGATCTGTCTACAGGCATCCTTTCTTACGCGGGATCACGTCGGGGTCACCAATGTAGCGCTCGTGTATGTATATATGTATTTTAGCGGGAAGAAGATTCCTGCTGAGGCGATACTTTCTCCAGCCATCACAGCTTGCGTATATCGACTGGGAAGCATTGATGTGTATCCATAAAAACTCGACTGCTGAACTGTAACATTATAAACAGCAAGAATTAATAAGATCAAATTTTGTTAGTATAATAACAATTAAAGAAATTTGCTTAGAAAATGTTGCAAATTTCAAATTAATCTGATCTAATGTACAACGTAACTGGAAGATTAAGGCAAAGAACTTAACAAATTATCAATACGTAAATTATACGAGGTGAGTAAATTGCTATCTAAGATACCCAGCAAACACAGAATATAAATGTTATATACTTAAGCATGTTACATGTAACGTTAAAGTTAGTTGTAATTTCCCACTCATAGATGTAACATTTTTAATATTACATATATTACATTGTAGTTATATTGTCATTATATTCCAAGATAGCACTGACTTATCAATACATCAATGTGCTATTTGGTATATAATTACAATATAACTACAATGTAATATATGTTATATTAAAATGTTACATCTCCCATACAGCACCGGATAGATTGCAAAAACATTACAACAATCTTTCACCGCAATATTGCAATATTGCAAATTTACTGCAAAATGTTGCTACATCATTGCTGTTGAATTGCAGCAATGTTAAAATGTCCGCTTTTTGGAAGATTGCAACAAAATATTACAACAATATTGCAATATGTTATGAGTTTGCAATAATGCATTGTTATTGCAACCATAAACTAATGTTGCATATACAGGTATATAAATGTAAATAAATCATTAATGTGAAAATACGTTGTAGTTAATTTATATATATTACAATATATAAATTATAGAATTTGGATTTTATGCAATATTTCCGAAATATTAATGTCATGTTGCTACAAGTGTGCTGGAATTTTGTGCACTTATATCTCTGCAATGTCTTTATAATGTTGCATTGCAACTTGCAACATTGCAACGTTGCTGCAATATAATTGCAATAATCCCAGCAAACACCGATATATAATTGTTACATTGCCATAATAAAACGGAATATAACAGATAATATAACGTGTACGTTACATGTAACATCCATGTTAGTTGTAATTTCCCACTCATAGATGTAACATTTTAATATAACATATATTACATTGTAGTTATATTGTAATTATATACCAAATAGCACATTGATGTATTAATAAGTCAGTGCTATCTTGGGATATAATGACAATATAACTACAATGTAATATATGTAATATTAAAAATGTTACATCTATGAGTGGGAAATTACAACTAACATATACGTTACATGTAACATGCTTAAGTATATAACATTTATATACTGTGTTTGCTAGGATCTGTGCTGTATGGGTAAGTATTTGAGTAAATTCTATGAGTAATTAAAGCTTACTCACTATTATTATTAATAAAGATTGAGAATATTAATAAAACTTTATGACATAAGGAATTTAAAACATAGTGGACTTTTATAAATTTTAGCAAAAACTTACTTTAACTGAAATTTTAATTTATGGTTTAGTCACTAAAATGTATAAAATGTCCAAATTTCAGAAATCGAAAATAATTTCTCTCAATTTTATTAAGAAGAAATTTATTTATTATATTATGAATTATTTATTTCAAACTTATCTAACATATGTATTTTTGTGCAATTTATTATATTACAAAAATAATATTGCGAATACTATGCTCTGTATCTATTTCCAGCAACTTTGAATCATGTAATATATATATAAAAATTTTTTATTGTACTTTTTCAGGTGTTGCTGGCTTTTGGGTATCGGTTAATCGAATATTAACAAAATTGTTAATCAATGATGAACGCGGTAATACGTCTGCATTCTTCCTTATGTCGAATATGACGATTATGTTGTGTTTCGTTTTACATAAAATTATACGAAAGATCGAATTTGTGCAATTTTACATAACATTGTGCCAGGAAAGAAATCAAATCACTTTAGAACCAACGGAAGATGTCGGTTTGGTATGTGTAACATAGTATTCTTGTACACATTGTATTCTTCATTTATATAAAACTTTCAATGGAAGATGTGGGAAAACAAATATTTTTAAGGAAACTTATGATATACAACCCAAGTAGAACAGAAAAGTCAAAATAATGTCAATTTGACGTCATATTGACCAAATTTGATCAGTATGACGTCAAAATGATATTATTTTGATTTTCTGTACTTGGGAAGTGCATATACATTTTAAGAAAAGAGAAACTGTAACTGAATTAAATGATTGCCAAATCAAGTTATTTAGTCAAACTTATCTAACATATTTTTGTGCAACAACTTAATGATGCATATGTGATTAATGTACATTACTGTGTTCAGATGGATCCGTTGGATCAAGTTGGCGATCCCTCGAAAGGTCAATACGGAGTGTTGAAGATCCAAACGAGTCTATTGGGGACAGATTCTGCCAGTGGCACTGATGGTAAGAAAGATATTAATTTTATATGTTTAAGTATAGAATGTTTATTTTGATCCTCTTGGAGTTACAAGGCGTTGTTTTTGTAAAGAGTGTACCCGAACCTTTTACAATTTAATTTCTTCTAACCTGGCCATAAGGCGATCCTCATATCAATAATTCTTGTTTTCCTTCTTTTTTTTCATCCTTTTTTCTCTCTCTTTAACTGTCTTCTCCTTCTACAATTTTTTTCCAAAAACCTCTTAAGGGAATGGTTAGGTCTGTTTTATTGACAAATATTATTTTCATTTAACTCTTTATTAGCTATACGGAGTGAAAAATCCTTTACTAGAATTAAAATAATTCATAATAAAAAATCTGGGCTATTATATGTATATATAAAAAGAAGCCAAAAAAGTTAAATAATTAAGTTAGAGTTAAATAAAAATAATATTCGTCGATAAAACACCTAGTCAGCATTCTTTAAGAGGCGTATGAGCTTTTTAGGATCGAACTGGGTTCGAATCTGGAACTTTTCGCCTATCAGTCCGCAATTTTTAGATGAGGTCACATGTCACCGATTTAAGTAGAGAGAATTATATACTAGGTTTATTTAAGAATATTCGAATTGCGTTCTTGAAAAAGTACCACTCTTTCGAGATTACGATTAATATAATTGGACTGTTTTAGCGTCTCGACAGTATTCTGCATTCTCGTTCAGCAATCCAGTTTACGAACCTAGCGTTCCTTCGGGGAATCCGCCTGGTAGTGCTAGACCGACTTATAAGGTCGAAGACGTCGTGGTTATGGGAGGCGCTTACACAAGCACACAAAGCACAAGTACACTATGGTCCGGCATAAAAAGTAAGAGAATACAGTTTTCCTATTTCATCAAAAAAAAAAAAAAAAAATATATATATATATATATATATATATAATTTATTTTTTACATATTTACACACAAACTTATAATACACTCACTCCAAAAAAGGGTTACACTTAAAATTTGGAAAAAAATTACTAAATTTTAAATGACGATAACTTCGAAAATAATAAAGATAGAAAGGTTTCTAAAAATGAATATAAAGCTTGGAATTTCTACTTGAAAAATCTATTTATTTCAATGTTGCGAGATAAATTTATTAAAAATGGCGAATAACAAAACAAGAGCATGCAAAATTGAAAAATAATGGTTCGAGTTTGCCAATGCACATGGCGTGAGTCAAATATAGTAACGCAATGGAATTAAAAGCATATGATGGTACAGAGTTTCTCCTTTAAAATGCTTTTCTATTCATCTCGATATGATGATTTTTTGCCGAGATATTCGCATTTGGAGAAAACGCTTTCTTTTTATTTTAAATGCGAATAATTTTGTGAAAAATCACCGTATCGAGATGAATAAAAAAGCATTTTAAAGAGAAGACTCTATACTATCATATGCTTTTATCCCATTGAGTTATGACATTTGACTCACGCCATGTGCATTGGCAAACTCGAACCATTACTTTTCAATTTTGCATGTGTCGTTTTGTCATTCGCTATTTTTAATAAATTTATCTCGCAACATTGAAATAAATAGATTCTTCAAATAGAGAGCTTTATATTCATTTTTTAGAAACCTTTTTATCTTTTATATTTTCGAAGTTATCGTCATTTGAAATTTGGTATATTTTTTCCAAATTTTAAGTGTACTGTTTTTTTTTGGAATGAGTGTATTTGATATTATTTTTACAAATTTTACATGATTGTGATTATTGAATCATTGTTGTGAAACAACAATGTTTCAATAAGATCGATTAATATTTATAGGGAAAATTTAAAATAATTTTTTAGGAGGTTTGCTCGCTAGACTCGAAGTCGCCAAATTGATCTTTCCGTACATGGCCAGTATTGGAGTTGCTTACTTCGTAACCCTCTGCTTGTACCCAGGAATCGTATCGGAAATAATATCCTGCAAATTCGAATCGTGGATGCCAGTTATTCTGATGACTGTCTTCAACTCCGCTGATTTATTCGGCAAGGTTGTCGATTATTTAAATTGTATATGACATTAATCCTTTGTTCTTTTTTTAATATTTTGTTTTCTTCGCATTCAAATGGACGAATATTTTAACACTTTTTTAATACTTTATTTATTTATACTTATTCTTAAAATACTTTCCTTTTGATTAATATTGCTATTATATTATCATGTTATTTAATTTTTAATATCTCTAGAAAATCTAATTAGAAGATATAACACTGTGCAACAAAAAATGATTTTTTTTAACATTGGAGCGAGACTAGTCGTTTCTTATAGTTTTTTGGATGCTGAATACGAATAATATCTTCAAAATTGCTCCATAACGTCACAATTTTAAGAGACATGCAATTAAAGTTGCAAAAAAGGCTATTTTCATGAACTTTGTCATATTATAGCTACAATATGCGACATGCTAAAAAAGTTTTCTTGCTATCAAAATAAAATATATTGTTAGGATTTTAACCCTGAATAGGAATTTTCAGTGATGTGATGGAGCAATTTTGAAGACAGATTTGTGTTCAGCATCCAAAAAACTATAAGAAACGACTATAGTTTTGTGCCGGTGTTTTTTTGTTGAACAATGTAATAGATGTTGCTTGAATATAAATACAACATATTAATGCAAAAATGGAAAATATATAACAGTGATAAAAACTATAAAAGTATTAAAAAGTATTAAAGCAGTTATGTTTTTTTTATATAGAATTATAATACAGATTATCTGGATTTTTTATAGGCTTTCGGTTTAATACCTTACGAATGGAAGCGCACTCAGTTACTCTATTTCTCTAGTGCGCGAATCATACTTATTCCCCTATTTCTACTTTGCTCAATTCCACGTGGTGCTCCTATTCTCTCCGGCGAGGGATTCCCGCTTGTGCTCTCCTGGCTCCTTGGCTTTACAAATGGTGTAATCGGTTCCGTACCAATGATTCAGGCGCCAAACAAAGTACCAGAAGAACATCGAGAACTCGCAGGTATATATTATAAAAACAAAGAGTACGGGCAGTTCCCAAGTGACAAGCATATACGTCATTTTGACGTCGAATAACGTCATTGAATGTCAAAATGACGTCAGTTTGCTATTTGTTGCTTAAAATTTTCCTAACTCGAGATTGGATTTTATTTTTTGACTTAAAATGAAATTTATGATGTGATTACGAATACGCGAGTTTTTAAGTGGACCAAATTATTCCAGAAAAAATAGCTTATTTAAAATTCTGATTAACAAATATGATGCCACGTCAAATGAAAAGATTTCTTTTAATCAGCTCAATTTCAATAATTTACACCCCATGTTTATTTCTTTCTTTTTTTCAACAAGATTTATTTTGACAATAAAGCAAACAAGAAAACTAATGCCAAAAGCCATTTTATTGAGTGTTACGATTAACTGCAAGTGTCAGTCAATCAGGTCAATCAGATATAGCAAAAACGGGGAAACCATTAGGATCATCTGTCATATTGGAATTAGAATGAGTTATTCTCTGAAAATGGTAACTCGGTCCATTTTGAAACTTATGCATATTCGCAATCTACGTGTCGTAAACTTTATTTTCAGCCAAAAATGAATCGGGAAAAGTTTGAACAACAGGTCTATAGGCACTTGTTCACACTATTTTCGTTAAAATATAATAGTGATAAAAGGGAAAAAAGAAGGAAGGAAACAGAATATAAATTATTGAAACGCGGTAATTAAAAAATTTTTTCCATTTTTAATTCGTCTACTTCCTACATTCCAAAAAACTAGTGTACTCCAGCATTTAATATTAAACATTTTTTATGTCACTTATTTAAAGATTACACTAGTTTACAAAAAAATACTTATTTCATTATTTTAAATCAGACAAGGTATTTTAAAATAGACATGTTTCTTATAAATTTTTGAGTGCTTGAAATTTGCTTCCGAGGAAATAAGGTTTTTTAGAAGGAACTGTTTTTCCCAAAATTAATTTTGCCATTATTTGTTTTTCTTTAGACCATATATAACATTTTTTTCGAACAATTCCAAGTAGACAATTAAAATGAGACACCTATATATAAATTTTTTTCTTATTTAAAATAATATTCAAAATTAATCTATTACAGCTCTAACAGCACACATTCGAAAGACGTTTAGACATGCAGAGGATATTCGAATGTCCTTTGGATATCCTCTGAACGTTTTTCGGATATGTTGTGCTGTTAGGAAGATTTTTATTAATCCGTTAAACTTAAAAGTTAATATAATATACAATATCATATTTTATTAGGTAACATTATGACGTTATCGTATACTACTGGATTGACCATCGAATCTTTATTGGCGTATATGATGGATGCCTGTCTCGGCCCGTCTGTGCAAGCTAAGGACGTGTGCGCGCAGTTGGCGAATAGTCAAATTTTGACGACCCCGCTCAGCAACGTGACGGCGAGCATTCTGATGAACGGGATATCTTCCACTTTGCCCGTCGTTGAAAGAATGACGACGATGCCGAAGGCGAAGACCACTGCCAATGTGCTAACTACGATTCTGATGTCCACGTTATTGTCGAATAGCACCGTAAGCCTACTAAGCGACGAAGGGGCGCTGAATGCGTCCACGACGGTCTTACCAAAGCTCTTAGCTAATGTTACCACTTCGGCAAGTAACGTGATTTTGCAACATTAGGACGCATATGTTTGTGCGCTGTGTTAAATCTGGTGCTTTCACATATATGAGAGAGAGGGGGGGGGAGAGGAGAAAGAAAGAAAAATTATGGGTGTATGTGTGCGTGTGTACGCAAAAAAATTATATACGAGTTGAAGAAGTCGCTATAAAGCTAAAGTGTTTAAATTGATGAAATTTGTAAGTTATTGTAATAATTGTTGACAAGTGTTTAATTTTTTTGGTTATGTTGCTAACTATAAGATATGAAGCTTATATTTTATTTGTGTCCATATTATGTATTATTTCTGAATTTACTTTTTGCTTGATTATTTCATGTAAAGATTGTTTTTAAAAAGATTAGAAAAATAAAAAAGAAACAGTATACCTAATTTTATTGCAAGTGATAAAAATAAAATATAATACAATTCAAACAATATGTAATATATTATTAAAGCACGAGACGTTCAGCAATTGTTTCTGAATGTTCCGGTTATTCGAAAAATTGTGTAGATAAGATATATCAATCTTGGAAATAAAAGGCCAGAAAATAATGCAAAAAGTTAAACCTTTTAAATCTTTTAAAGGTTCTTTACGTTATTTATAACACAATATAATTCGAGATTGGATTTAAAAACAATAATAGAAATAAGAAACAAAGCATGTTTCAAAATCATAAACTTTTTCAATTTTTCTCTATTTGAAACATTCTAATAGATTTTTTATTTATTAATAAATTTTGTTATTAATGTATAAAAAAATTAATGTATGAAAATAGCATGAAAAAAGAATCAAAAAATAAAAAATATTTTTTCCTTAATATATGTATATGCAATTGAATTAGATGCACTATAGGAGAAATATGAACCAGTAAAAACAAAAAGAAAAAATTAATTATTTTTTGAAAATTTTAAGTTTAATACACGATGCTGTGAGAAAATAAAAAAATAAAGATTTAAAAAAATTATAAAAAATTTTATTATTATTTTATTATTAAATTAAGTATTAAAATACTTTTGGAATTTACAAACATGCTTGAATATATAAAATATCATAATTTATGTCTATTTGATTGTTTTAAATAACTTAAATAGTGCCTCTTTGTTTTTGCTTCAAAGGAAGAACTCTTTATATTGAATATTTTTCCGTTTACATTTTGTCAGTAATACTTTTATTTCTACACATATAAAAATAATTATAATTTCTTCTATAATCTATATTTACTTAAAAATAGATAAATAATTTTAAAAATCTATCTATTTTAAAAATGGCCTACATTTGTATAAAATTTGGTTCAATATACCTTTTTAAGGGTGATAAAAACATAATATTTAACATTTATATAAAGGTTTCTTTATCAGTTTTTTTATTATAAAAAAATTAATCTTTCGTTTAAAAAGTTTAAATTTAAATCTTAATTATATATATTGTATATAAGTTTGGTATTATTAAAAATGCTATTAATTGAATAAATAAAACATAATTTAAATAACATTAAATGTATAAACAGTGCTATTTATTTTATATTTTAAAAGTTTGAGTGACGTAGATCATCTCAATTACTTTTCTGTTTAACTCTGAATTTCTATATGTATAACGCAAACAAAATAAAGTATATTTTAATTTTAATTTATATCTAACAATAAATAAAAAAATAAATAAAATTGATTATTATATTTATTATAAAAAAAACTATTAATCTCGGCTCGAATTATTGTGTTACAATAAAAATAAAATCTCGACGGCAATCGGAGCCTATGCGGATGACATGCACAAAATTAATAAATTAAAATGAGATCTCAAGTCAAACTCATTTATTAAATTCTAAACGTTTCGACCCACTTCGGGTCTTCTTCAGTAGCTGCAAAATACAAAGAAACAAAAATAGAAGATAATCGGTACAATCAGAAAATTATAAAACTCGTATACATACAATCCGCAAATAAATTAAATATCATTCTCCTCCCTATTCAAACCGTCCGGCCGTCGGAGTGTCTCCCTAACGGTGACTGACCATCGTCAGGAAGGAAGCGGAGCAGTGACTCCCTTACCAACACTAATCAACATGGTATAAATTAAACGTAGAACAATTCACAAGAATTAAAAATTAAGAACCGGGAAGAACACTCACCCCGACAGCAAAAACAGAGAGAAGACGATGCTACACGTGACACATCACTCTAACGACTGTGCGGTATTCTACCTCGACACAGTCGATACATATATACGCAAAAAACAAAAATAAAAATAAAATATGAAAATAAAAATAAAAATAAAAACAACTAAACTAATCGGCACTCATGTCAAAAGTCTAACAAAAAAACCCGGCTATGTAAAATCACAAAGCTAGATTTTGGTAAATTTTTCTATTAACAGATCAAGATTCTCGTTTAATTTATCAGTGTCGCTATGTAAATTTAAACTATTCCTCTGACGTTTTATGTGGATCATTTCGGATATCAAACGTTTACCTAAAAAAGGCTCCTCGTCTAAGACTTTTACATCCTCCCAATTAAATTCATGGTTCAATAATCTATGTTCCGATATGACTGATAATTGTGACGCGTTTCTTTTTATGTTGTTGCGATGTTCTTTAATCCTAGTTTTCAACAATCTACCCGTCTGCCCTACGTACGACGCATCACAATCCATACAATCAATTTTATAAACTACATTATTATGGAGTTCTCTTGGTAACTTATCCTTGTGTACTTTAATGAATTTACGGAGACTGTTAATTGCTGTATATGATGGAATGACATCCAAATCACGCGTAATGTCCTCGATTCTCTTCGATACATTATTAATATACGGAATATTAAAGTACGAAACTTTTTTCTGCGTTAGAATCTTGTCATTGCATACATTTGCTCTATTGTTATGCAACTTATTATTATAGCGGAAGAACAACTTTTTAACCGCGCTTGTAATGTATGAAATATCAAATTGAGAGGATAATTATTAGACAAACGTCAGAGGAATAGTTTAAATTACATAGCGACACTGATAAATTAAACGAGAATCTTGATCTGTTAATAGAAAAATTTACCAAAATCTAGCTTTGTGATTTTACATAGCCGGGTTTTTTTGTTAGACTTTTGACATGAGTGCCGATTAGTTTAGTTGTTTTTATTTTTATTTTTATTTTCATATTTTATTTTTATTTTTGTTTTTTGCGTATATATGTATCGACTGTGTCGAGGTAGAATACCGCACAGTCGTTAGAGTGATGTGTCACGTGTAGCATCGTCTTCTCTCTGTTTTTGCTGTCGGGGTGAGTGTTCTTCCCGGTTCTTAATTTTTAATTCTTGTGAATTGTTCTACGTTTAATTTATACCATGTTGATTAGTGTTGGTAAGGGAGTCACTGCTCCGCTTCCTTCCTGACGATGGTCAGTCACCGTTAGGGAGACACTCCGACGGCCGGACGGTTTGAATAGGGAGGAGAATGATATTTAATTTATTTGCGGATTGTATGTATACGAGTTTTATAATTTTCTGATTGTACCGATTATCTTCTATTTTTGTTTCTTTGTATTTTGCAGCTACTGAAGAAGACCCGAAGTGGGTCGAAACGTTTAGAATTTAATAAATGAGTTTGACTTGAGATCTCATTTTAATTTATTAATTTTGTGCATGTCATCCGCATAGGCTTCGATTGCCGTCGAGATTTTATTTTTATTATATTTATGTTCCAAGTTGATAAGAACAGGCATTATAAATTGTTATAAATATGTTATTTAAATTCGGAGTCTTCTGCTATTTTTGTAAATTACATAATATAATTATATATTATAGTAAACGTTGATTCAATTAAAAATTGAATTTTATATTTTATTTTAAAAGAGATTGAAATTTTTTTTATTGTGAATGTTGATATTGGATACTGCGTTTGTAATATTTATTTATGCGTAGGCTACATTATATATATGGTGCACTTTATTTTGTATGTACTGTGATAAAGTTATCTTTCGAAATAACATCAGATTAAACATTAAACACACGCACAAAGAAATTGTAACAATTGTGTATAAAATTGCGTTTACAGAGGTATGAAGCTGAAAAGTGATTATCGCGAGATACACGTCGAACTTCAAATGTTTCTTTTTTGTTATGAAGGATATCGCATGCCTGTTATTTCGTATCAGCAAAAAATCACTGTTTCAAATATATTTTTAAAAGCGATGAAAAGAATAAAATTGATTTTTTTGTAGAAAATAATGTTATGTACACAAAGTAGTTCCGCATTTTATTTTGATCAGTCAAATAACTCGAAATGACGAGGTTTTAGAACAAAATGTATCAATAAAAGTTGTAGCATTGTAAATGGGACTTAATATCGTGATCTAGAATTAGCCTTAATCATTACAAAATCATTTGGCGTTTTTCAAGGTCATTTAAAGGTCAATCTGATTTTTAAAATGAATAGTACTTTTTTTACATCAATTGATTGCTCTCATTCTTTTGTATAAATCAAAATATTGAAATAAGATTAACAAAGAATGAATATTTTATAAAATATTTTATAGTTTATCTAAAATTATATCAAATTAAAATATCTCAAACTATTCATGTTTTTGGCCATCCTACTCTTATAACTTTTATGCCAAATATTGCGAGAAATCAATTTATACAAAAATATGGTAGTTTTATTAAAAAAAGATACTAACTTCTAAATGACCTTGAAAAACACTATCCAAGCGTAATTCTAGATCACGATACTATCCCATTAAACACAGTATATAAATGTTATATACTTAAGCATGTTACATGTAACGTATATGTTAGTTGTAATTTTCCACTCATAGATGTAACATTTTTAATATTACATATATTACATTGTAGTTATATTGCCATTATATCCCAAGATAGCACTGACTTATCAATACATCAATGTGCTATTTGGTATATAATTACAATATGACTACAATGTAATATATGTTATAATAAAATGTTACATCTATGAGTGGGAAATTACAACTAACATGGATGTAACATGTAACATACACGTTATATTACCTGTTATATTCCGTTTTATTATAGCAATGTAACAATTATATATCGGTGTTTGCTGGGATATGTACTTCTCTACAACTTGTGTTTAAAATACATTTTTTTTGAAATGTTATTATTTCGAGATATTTGATTATTGAAAATGGGACACCATATATACTTATCTTGTATATTTATTCTTGTCTTTATTGTTAATTTATTTTAATGCGTAATATAGACTGATAAACTATTTGATGGTTGATGATCGACAAGTTTTTGCCAGGAAGGTTATTGCATGACGAGTATATTCTGTCGAGCTGTTATACGTATCTACGTGTGTATATATAGTTGATTGATACAATTGAAATATAAAATACGTGTATTTATGTGGCACATTAGGCGTCATAATTACTTTTACAATTCACTAGATCCACTTTCTAGATGCACTTTCGGAAGAAATGCCACATTATTATACATCCTGATTTGTAGTAAAGAAATAAACGCAACAATAAACAATAATTAACGCAACATATTTGATATGTTTTCAGCAAACACCAAGTAATTATTATATAACTGT